CAGGGTCGGGGGTGGCTGGGGGGCCGCCCCAGGGACGTAGCCGAGCCTCTCCCCTCCGCCCGCAGGTGAGCTGGCCCAGAAGCTGAAGCCCCTCGGGGAGCAGGAGCGGCCGTGATCCTGGAGCTAAAGAAGGCCGAGTGCCAGAGGCGGGGCCTGCACTTTGACGGCCCCATCAACGCCTGGGACCTGCGCTACTACGTGAACCAGGGGGAGGAGACGCGCTACCACGTGGGCCAGTACCTGCTCAATGAGTCTTTCCCCATGCAGGCGGTCACACGCGGGCTGCTGGGCATCTCCCAGGAGCTGCTGGGGCTGACCTTCGACCTGGAGGAGGGCACCAGCATGTGTCACGAAGACGTGAGGCTCTAAACGGTCTGGGACGCGGCCTCGGGCAAGGTCATCCATCGGCAAGTTCTACCTGACCTCTATCCTCGGTGCGTGCGTGGGGGAACCTGTCGGCCGTGGGCCGGGGCTCGTCTGTGGAAGCGGGGCCCCATCCACGTCCCTCCGCAGGGTGGGGAAGTCCGGGCACGCGGCCTGCTTCGGCCTGCCTACAGCACGATGGGAGCTGCCAGATCGCCATCGCGGCCACGGTGGCCAACTTCGCCAAGCCTACGCCCAACCTGCCCTCCCTGCTGCGGCATGATGAGCGGGAGACCAACTTCCACGACGTCGGGCATGCGATGCACCAGCTCCGCTCCCAGGCGCAGGGCTGCAGGCGGGGGCGGGGAGGGCCCGGGCATGCGTGGTCCTCAGGCAGGCCCTCGCCACGGGATTCTTTCACTGACATCACCCCACACGTGGTGACGCCCTCGGTGTCAGCTTCCATCATCAAACCCCAGGCACTGGGCGCGTAAGTAACGGAAATGGATGTCCTCGAGGCTCTAGAGGCTGGAAGACCCAGATCAAGGAGTCAGGGCTGGTTCCCTGCATGTTAAATACATGTACTCAAGAGTTGCCTTTAAAAAAGACAAAAGAAAAGAAAGGAACGTTGCCTGCAAGTCTGCTGACAGCCGGTGATGAGAACCAGAGGGAAGGCTCTGGGGCCGGGGGCGCAGTGCCCTGTGAGCTCGGGGGCTGCTGCCAGTCTCCGTGGAGGCTCAGCAAGTCCCAGTGACTTCCCCACGTGGGGGGCGCCAGCTGAGAGTCTGGGCCCAGGACCCACTGCTCGTTCGGTCTTCCTGTGGTCAGCCCTTCATCCTGAGAGCGATGCTCTCACAGGCTGCACCGGGGCGTGTGGGTACAGTTTACTGAGCCGTACAGACGTCACTACTGCTTTGGACCATTTCCATCATCCCGAAAATGTCCCTCACGCCCTTCGCTATCACTCCGTCCCCTCGCCAGCCCCTGACAACCAGGAACCCACTCGCTGACTCTGTGGATCTACCTGCTCTGGACGTTTCTCCTCAGTGGGGTCACGCCCTGTGTGTCCTTCTGTGTATGACTTTGCTCGCTGAGCATCGTGTTCTCAGGGTGTACCGACGCGGCAGCGAGCGTCAGGGCTTCACCGCATTGCGTGGCTGAGGGACGTAAAGAAGACAAGAGAAAAGAAAAGCACGTTGCATGCAAGTCTGGTGACAGCCGGTGATGAGAACCAGAGGGAAGGCTCTGGGGCCGGGGGCGCCGTGCCCTGTGAGGCCCTGGCGCTGCTGCCAGTCTTGGTGGGCCACGGGCAGCACCGTCCCTCAGGAGCTGCTGGACAAGCTCATCAAGTCCCGGGAGGCCAACCCAGATGCGGCCGGACCGAGGGAAGGGAAGGGGGCTTCCGGTCTGCCCGGCTGGCAAGCGCGGCCTGGACACGGTGCCAGCCCCCCGTCTCCTTCCTCCCACGCCCCAGGCCTCTTCAACCTGTGCCAGATCGTCCTGGCCAAGGTGGTTCAGGCCCTGCACACACAGACGCCCGCGGACCCGGCCCAGGAGAATGCCCGCCTCTGCCAGGAGATCCTGGGGTTCCCAGCCATGCCAGGTAGCCAAGCGCGCGCCGGGCTCACCTTAGCGGTCGGTTGGCGGCTACTGCCCAGGTCAAGAGGATCGTCTGGTGGTGTGTGAATGGGGACCGACTGACGGGCTCCGGCCGAGGCCCGCTGCCCTCTGGCCTCCTCCTGCCACGGCTCCTTGGCTGGTCCCTCCAGCTGTGGCCCACGGAGTCCGAGGGTGGAGTGGGAGCCTCTGCACATGCTTTCTAGAGAGCCTGGAAGAGGCAGGAGAGGGCTTCGTACCCCGGACAGAAGGCATCGACGAGGTCTGCCCATGCGTGTCGGTGCGGACACGCGGTTCACTCCCTCGTGAGCGCTTTAACCAGCGATCTCCCCGTGGTGGAGGGAGAGCCCTGACTCATCTCTCGCAGCCTCGGCAGCTGGCCTTGTAAGAGGCTTAGGAGTGAACCCTCGTGAGCTTCAGCAGAAAGTCGGCAAAGATTTATTTGTGTCCCTCCACTGAACTGCCAGCAAGGTCCCCGTTTTCTACAAGTGTTGGGCCAATACTCTCTCTAGTGGCAGGGGACTCAGACAAGGCTGCTTTGAGGCCCCCACCCCCGCTCTGGGGCAGGGGCACTGAGCGGCCAGGGGGCCGGCCAGGAGCCCCTCCGCGTGTGTCCCAGTGACCCACCTGCCTGCGACCTTCGGCCGCCTGGCAGGAAGCTACGACGCCCAGTCCTATGGCCAGTCATTCCTGCAAGAAACACTGGAACCAGTTTCTGCCAACCCACCAAAAAAACGACTTCAAAGGCAACGTGGTGTCACAGGAAGGGCTTGTTTCTGTGCTGGTTTGTTTTTAGTTCATTAGGCCTCACTTAAAATTCTGATTCCACAATGCACTTGCTTTGGGATCTTGAACAACACTCATAACCTCTGCAAGTTTCAGTATAGTAAGTTTATGTGATTACCTTCATCTGTAATAGCCCTGTGTTGCAATCTTAATTAATTCAGATTAATTCATCTTAATCTTAATCTCAAATTCAGATCAATGACTAGTTCCTCTGTGACTTCTCCTCTGAACGGATTCAAAAGCCGCCTCTCCCGTCCTCATTTGGCTTCTCTTCTCTTCTGGAATCTCATAAGAACTTCTATGACCTCTTTGGTTTTTTGTTGTTGCTGTTGTCTGTTTGTTTGTTTTTTAATTGAAATATAGTTGATTTACAATGTCGTGTCCGTTTCAGGTGTACGGCGCAGTGATTCCGTTTTCAGAGTCTTTTCCCTTATAAGTTATTACAAAATATTGAGTACAGTTCCCTGTGCCATAGGGGAGATCCTTGTTGTATCAATTCTATGCCTTCTTTGAATGACCGTAGCACTTGTTGTCTGTATCATTTTTATGTCTGTTGTGGCTTTGTGACTGAAAATGAAAATTTTCTATTTGTTCATGCCCTGGCCCTTCCTTAAAAATGTGTTCATTTACCTATTTCATATTTATTGACTACATCTTAGACACCGCGTTAGCTGCTTGTTCTAGATGTTAGTAAAACATAGACCTTCCTGCTCAAAGGGTCACAGTATTTGTGGGAAAACAAAAAAATGAACAACTTACGTCTCAAATAGCTTTGTACTTCCCAAAGAGAGCACACCTCGTAGGTACAATAAATATATGTATTATACATAAATGTATAAAGAGTTAATGGCATTAAAAACGTGAGATAACTGCTTTTCTATTCTGAGGAAATGAGGATTACATTTCACCAGGAGCTCAATACCACTCTGAGAATGAGGGCTTAACCCCCGACCTGGCTCACTGCATCGCTTTCTTATATGAAAATAGACAAGTCTGTACACGCTCTCTACAAAAAGGCTTATCTGGCATGAATTTCAGATAGCAAGAAGAAAAATTCAAGAGGTTCAGAGAAGCATCCAGAAGCTCAGATGATTGTCTGGCACTGATACAACTTGCTTGACAGGAAAATAGAGCTGTAAATCTCACAAAATTCGATGATCTTCTAAGAATTTCAAAACCGTCTGCTGTTAATTAGAAATCCTAGAAGAACTGCTTCTTTTAAAGCACACTGATAATATGCTTTACAGCTTAATATTCAGAAGCCTATGGTTCGGCTAAGTGAGCTTCAGGAATGAAGGAAACTTGTGGTTCAGTTCCCTCTACTCTGGAACCTCTGGTCAAAACACCTACTTCTGTGCTCAGCCATCTTATCATCTGAAAAATGGAGGCAACTCTAAGAAAACATCGTTACAGAGATGTTGCACAGTTTCCTGTGTCACTGTCTTCATTTGTTTCAGAAAACCAATAACGTCTAAGCTACTACTGCAAAGAGCGCAGTGTTACTTGGGGTCATCTAGTGCAGCTCTGTCAAAGTAAAGAAAAGGAAAGGGGCCTAGAACAACTATAATTTTCCCAAGAGGACACTATTATTTTATGGTAAATCTGAGTCAAGAACCCTGATCTCTTTGATGCCATTCCATTGTTCTTTCGTTGGGTTCTCAAGAACCCAGAGAAAGAAAGAGAAATAAAACTCCTATGTGCTGTGTCACTGGTACAGGACGTGGCAAGATTGGAATCGGAGAACTACATATTAACAGGTATTTGGGAAATTCTTCAAACTGGTTAAGATATACACCAGGTACCTAAAAAACAGTATGTTTTCCCAAGATGATTCTGTGGAGTGAACAGAACTGGTAACTGAAGGTGCCTGTGTGCTGCACTTCCAAACAGGATGGGTGAATGCTTGTTTTCTGGCACCTTTAAGACTCCACCCCAATATACACATTAAAATAAAATTAACATTTCAACTGGGTCATATTTAATTCTGCATGCTCTTCTAAGTCAGCAAAATATTCCATATATCATTTAAGTTGTCACTCACTCTCTTTTCTTTTTCTTTTTTTTTTTTTGCGGTACACGGGCCTCTCACTGCTGTGGCCTCTCCCGTTGCGGAGCGCAGGCTCAGCGGCCACGGCTCACGGGCCTAGCCGCTCCGCGGCATGTGGGATCTTCGCGGACCGGAGCACGAACCCGCGTCCCCTGCATCGGCAGGCGGACTCTCAACCACTGAGCCACCAGGGAAGCCCGTCACTCACTTTTTAACTTGAGTTTTAATTTCTAAAAGTCTTTCCAAACACAAAACAGAGGTGGGAAAATGGTATATGGGAAGCTGCAGAGATGAAATAAGCTTACTTCATTCGGCATAAAGATGAATACCCAAACAACTTCTGCATAGCTGCAAGTGTCCAAATCTACTATCNCACCAGGGGAGCCCATCACTCACTTTTTAACTTGAGTTTTAATTTCTAAAAGTCTTTCCAAACACAAAACAGAGGTGGGAAAATGGTATATGGAAGCTGCAGAGATGAAATAAGCTTACTTCATTCGGCATAAAGATGAATACCCAAACAACTTCTGCATAGCTGAAAGTGTCCAAATCTACTATCTTCATTTTGTAGTCAAGTCTTCTGGAAAAAAATGCTAACGGAATCCTAATTACCCAAATGCCCCATATCTGTTTCAGTAAGTATTGTTACATATTATGGAAATTTTTCTCAGTGACAGAGAAAGACATCCTGGCCGAGCATCCCCCTGCCCATGACACAGAGATGATGGTCTCAAGCTACCTTGAAGGTGTTGGAGCCCACGTTATCCATTACTAATATTAATGGAGGACAAAACTTCATATTCTGTTTGCTGTGTGTTTGTTAAATCACTTCTTCCCTTCATTAAAATGGATGACACATAATTGAGCCTGTAGTGTGTGTATCATTGGAAACTGAACACATTTCTGTTGGCTTCATTAACGTAATAGGTTTCTAGGGAGGGTCTACTAAATAACTAAGTCTAGTTTCACAGTTACAAATAAATTACGATGTAACTTTGAATAAATTAAGCTCATCATAAAGGAAGGATACTGATAGTTGCTACTACCCCTTCCTTGAGGGGCTCTTGTAAAGCACTAAATAAAGTAACAGAGGTTTACATGCATGCATATATTTTCAATGATATTTGTATACACTTAAAAAGAACTCTACAGAATGCATTATAAAAACCTTGATGCTGTGTGTCCCTAGTTCCCAGCTCTATCATTAAAACTATTTAAATGAACAAAATGTTATCTATTAGGATAGCTATTATAGTACTCCAAATACTATTTCTTGCAGTACCCTGTCCCAACCATTTGCCTTCCTCTTCTCATTAGTCCTTAATTCAGAAACCCGAGAGATTTGTTCATTAATTTATGAACATATTTCTTCATTCAGCCAAGAAAATTGATTGATCCCTTACAAAATTTCAGGCACCCTTCTTCAGTATGTTTTATAGGCATGTTCAGGAAACACAGCAGTGATTAACACAGATGAATATAGCCTCTCTCGAGCTGAGGGGAGAGACAAAAGTAAAGAAGCAAATAGAAAATCATAGGTATAAATACATAAATAAAAATTGAATAAATGGGTAGAATAACTAGTATATCAGGTAAGTGCTGGAGAAAAACAGCAAGCAGGGAAGGGAGATGGAGATTGTTACCTGGTAGGAAGAGGCTGTGATCTGAAACTAAGTGATCACTGAGGGCTTTCTGGGGAAGATAAATTTTAAGAGGGAACCTAAGTTTGTGAGAGGAAGCAAGGTGCATATCTGGGAAGTAAATAGTACAGGCAGAGGGAACAGTCAGATGGAAAGGCAATGAGGCAAGAGTGGGTTTGGAGTATCCAAGGAGCAGAAGGGATGTCAGTGTGTGGAAAACAGAGGGAGCAAAGTGGAGAGGAGAAGGAAACAGTCAGAGAGGAAACAGAGGCCCAGATTTCTAGGGCTGTGGAGGCACTTTGAGGACTTTGCTTTTCCTGTGAAGAAGCCATTGAAGAGACTTGAGTGATATGATCTGACTTATGTTTTAACAGGATCTCTCTGGATGCCATGTTCATTAGGGACTGCAGGAGAATAAGGATAAGCCCCAGAAGATTAACAGTTGATTCAAAGAAGTGATTACTCAAACATCGTCCCCCTCCTCAGTGAGGACGCAGAGCAGGGATCAGCAAATACTGGCCACAAATCAAATCAGGCTCTCAGTCTGGAACTGTGTGACTGTGAGCTAGTAATTGTTCTCACATTCAGAAAGTTTGTTGAAGAAGAAAGAGGAGGAGAAGTTACAGAAAGTGTATGTGTCCCACAGAGCCTAAGATATTTAAAATCCAGAAAATGCTTTCCAACACCTGATGGAAGGCATCTGGCTGGTAGGAGGTCCTCAGAAAAATTTGGAAGAGGAATACATGAGTCAGTTAGTTCCTGAAAACACTGTAAAGTGATAGGTGTCAAGAAACATTTATGCCTTCACCCTTAACCTTCACAAATGATGCCATTTCCATTGAGCTATTGAAAAGTATAATCTGGCTTTCAAAACAATAAACCAGAGGGCATTTTCTCACATAGGCAAGGTCATAAACAACTGTCAGCTAAAGCTGAAATAGCAACAAATCAAATAATAACAAAAAACATTTTTATAGATTTTTCAAACTTACAAAGTATTTTCATGTCCATTATCTAATTTAATCCTCAAATCAATGCCATGAGATAGTTATTATTTTCCCATTAGAAATGAACACATATTAAATGCTTAGTGATTGCTCAAGAAAAGCTGAAATCTTGAGTGTTACCTCTATTAATGCCAAGGTTGGGTTTTTTCCCATGGGAACACTGGATGCTAAAATCAACAGGGATTTTTCAGCTCAAGATGGCAGACTAGGAAATATATTTACTTTCTGGTCCTCCTGAAACGATATTTAAATAAAACTGTAGAAATACCAAAAGTAATCAACCAATAAAAGCCAAGACATTTTGGAAGTCATCAACCACAGAAAGATTTCAACACATTTTGAGAAGGCAAACAATGAAATGGAGGGGCCATGAATAAAATAATGAAGAAAAGACTGACCCTAAGTAGGGTCTGCACAAAGCCAGTCAGCTTTTGTTGAGCTCTGGTTATAGTAAAGGGCAGAGGAAAGAAGAGGGGCTGAAAAGAATGAGACAAAATTCATTTTAGGAAAAAAAGTTCATTTAATGAGATCCAGGGAACACTCAGCCTGCTGCGATACTCACTCATGTATTACAGTGGATTGTTGGTAAGCAAGACAAGAAAACAGGGAACAAACAAACAAAAATCAAGATACTGTTTCTTACTGAACTCTTCTCAAATGAGATCAAGAAATTATGGTTCAATGCCATAGCTGTAAATCATTTCTGCTCTTGGAGAGGTTAGAAAGGGCTTATAATATTTACCCTTTTTTTTCAGACAGAATTTAGGTCTGAGCAAAAGCTTTTGTGTCCTCCAACCTCAAAGTTTATTGTGGAAGGAAGTCCAAATTTGCTTTGAGATACCATAAAAAGAATCTCATGAGCAGAGGGTCAAAATACTTTTGGAATATATGACTTATGCCCAGTGTTATTTTAAATATATAAAACATATAAATTTTAACTGATCTACATGATTCTGGGTTCTGAAACTTCTACATGTTATATGCCTGATATATAACACACAATGTCAGTCCCAGGAGAGAGAAAACACACCAATGAAGCAAGCCAAAGAAACAAGATTTGAACAAGGTCAAGTGATGTGTAGACCAAAACCAGGATTTTTCAATTCTTTCCTGTCATGATGTAGCTTCCAGCTCCTGAATAACAACACATGTTTCCCTTGTCCTAGACACACAAGAGTATGTCTCCTCTCTGGGGCCTAAGAAACTTTAGAGTTACATATGTGTGTGTAGTAAAGAGTGGACCCAGCAGGCATACTCACAATGACCAAATTTTGTTGATCGTACTTTATTTTAAACCAATACATCGCTCCATGCTGAAGTTGCAATAAATGATATACTTGTTTTTTAGACATGAATGAGATGCCTTACTGGATATACTCCAGGAAGGCCAGAGAAACTGGCTTCTAATCCAAACAGAATAATTCATTGATGAATTCCTTTCAGGATAGCCCATGATTTATCTAGAATATAAGCTTTACATACCTGGATCCTTCAAACTAGACCAAAGGGAAAAATCTAGGCTGCAAGCCTCAATTAGAAATGTGGGATGGTGCTATGCTGACAACTGGTGGTCCCTGACCTATCTTCAAAGTTTAGAACCCAGTGTGGTGGATGACCAATTCACGCATTGAACAAATGAACACCTCCTATAGGGCAGTGTATGTGTTCATTACAGGTATGGCACTTAGGGTTAAGTATCATAAGGACTTCAAGAATAAAAAAAAAAGTAACACATGAAGCATATATGATAAGGAGGCACCAGAGTCCAGAGCACGAGCTCTGGAATCACACAGGCTTGGTTCAAATCCCGGCTAAGCCACTACCATCTGTATATCCTGAAGAACAGTCGAAGGTTTAAATGTTGTTTTACCAAATTTCGAAAAACGAGTGAAGAAAGAACCTATCTGCCAGGAAGGGACATCGTGGGGGTGCAGCATCCAATCGTGTCAGGCCTCTGCATCCCCTGCTCAGAAACCTTCACCGCCTGGCTCATGGTGATGCTGGCAGCTCAGCAGCCATGGAGAAGGTGCGTCTCCAGGGCTCGCACACAAGCTGGAGAGGTCCACGGAGGAGGCGGGACACAGCCTGGCAAGCTCTGGGTGCCTTCTGCACTCAGCTCTGAGCAGGCTCTGGCCTCTGGGCCCCGTTGCAGTGAAGGGATGGCCGATACATACCCAGGGCTGAGGGGCCTGCAGAGCTGGTGCCCAGGCAGGGTGAGCTCTGGAGGAGAAAGCTTCCACAGTCCCCAACAGTCTCCGCATGGTGGCCCATCCAGTGCCAAACACGTGCCACCCACAGCGAGAAGTCCCAGCCGCTAGAAAGTCCAGAAGGAGTCAGGCTCTTTGCCCTTGGGCCGGGTTTCTCCAGGGGCGGGGGTTTTTTGGGGCCCCCAGCCCATCCCTTGACCTGCCCGCCCTTGCTCTGTGACACATACAATGGAATGTCAAGACCCAGGCTGAGCCATCCAGTGTCCAGTTCATGCTAGACCTCGAGAAGTGTTAGAAGCTAGGGAGAAGTTCTCCCACTTTCACTCTCTTTTCTCAGATCAGGCAGGCAGCACATCTCACCCCAAAGCTATGGACACCACACATCCTTCCCAGGCTATCTTTTTCCATTCTGCCTGTTTTCCCTTTCCATTCTGCCCCTCTTGTCCCCAGCCCCCCATTTACGGCTTCGGGTGTCATCGCTGCTTCAGCAGGCAGCATGTCTGACCCCGAAGCTATGGACACCACACCTCCTTCCCATGCTATCTTTTTCCATTCTGCCCCAGTTTTCCCTTTCCATTCTGCCCTGCTTTTCCCCAGCCCTCCATTTATGGCTTCGCGTGTCATCAATGCTTCAGCAGGCAGCACCTCTGACCCCAAAGCTATGGACACCACACCTCCTTCCCAGGCTGTCATCTTCCATCCTGTTCCTGTTTTCCCCAGCCCCCCATTTACAGCTTAGGCCGGTATCGGTGCTTCAGCAGGCAGCAGCTCTGACAACAAAGCTACGGACATCACACCTCCTTCCCAGGTTGTCATTTTCCAGTCTGCCCTGTCTCCAAGTAGAACCACTACTCATTTCACACCGCTGTTCCAAGCTCTGGGAACACACCACCCAGTGGTAGCAATGCCTCAGGCCATGCCTTGACTCATTTACCTGCAACATCAGCCAACAGATAGACCAACACTTCAAAGTTATGACAGAAAGTTGGGTAAGTTATACGCTTGGAATTTCATTTATTATTATTAACAAGCACAACTGTACTGCTTAGACTATAACAAGTACTATTCTAAGGGCTTACCAAATATTAACTCACTTATTCCTCATAATGGCAACCTATAGGTAGGGAATATTCACAATAGTCACTTTTTTGGGGAAAACTGAGGCCCAGAGATGTTGAATAGCTTGCCTAATGCCACACAGTAAGTAGGCGGCAAAAACCCAGGATTAAAACCAGACCATCTAGACTTTCATCACTTTGCTGTGTCACCTTATTATAAGTTGTGGTTAGGGAAGGGACTAAATGGACAAGACTCTGAACTAAAAGGAGAAGGGAGAAATGAGAAAATGAGTGATCCTAGAAACTAGAGAAGAGTTAGGCTCAGAAATTTCTGGTGATGAGACCCGGAAGAACAAGAACTTGGTTGGAATATTAACTTGGGGTAGTATCTGAATCCATTGAGAAATTGTTTTGTTTTCTGTAAAATTCAGAAAGGCCAGTTGGATGAAGATTAATGAAGAAAAAAGTAGAAAGGAAAAGAAAAATGTGCCTTAAGTGAGACATAACTGCTTCCCTCTAAGTACTAGGGGTGGGGTCCTGTGTGAAAGGATGGAGCTTTCTCTACCAGGTTTGTCACCAGGATGAACAAGGAGAAACATGGCAACCATTGTACTGGTTTTGATGATCT